CACATCAATTCCTTTCCTTAGTCCCAGTCTGTTTGTATTCTGTAACTACTCACCTCTCTATGACATTTTCCCGATTTAAAATTTCCATAAAATTGTCCTTCAGCCTTAGGTAGGTGTAACCGAGTCTGCAAAATGAAATATATATTAAGAGGATGAGTAAAACAGGTAATTATCCAGTTTAGCATGTCATAAAGATTTAAGACTGAGCTTTCTTCTCAAACAACATATTTTTATTTGATTCATGACTATGAATAATCACAAATAATTATGTTCACTATTAGGATTTCTACGTTGAAAACAATTTTAGACTTCAGTGATCAGATCTCTGATTAAAAATGTTTAATACCTAATCACACACACCTACCTTTGTATTCCCTCAACTAAGGCAACTTCATCAGGTGAAGACGATATATATATGCAGGACCTTCTTGAGAGCTGGTTTTTCTTTAATCCATCTACACTGTCATCATCTTTCACCTGAACAGTGTGGCAAAGACAGAGGGCTCGGAAAAACAGTTCTTCTCTCTCCTAATAAATAAAAGAAATGACTGTCATTACGTGTGATGTCTTTCAAGCATCGCTTTGAAAGCTTTTCTTTCTTTTTTTGAGGTTGAACACTGTTACTAAGTACTACTGTTTATTGCCAGCCATGCAGCTGGTGCCAGAAAGGACAGCGTGCATCTTTGTCCTCCTCTGAGTTGCCAGATGTGCTTCACGAGCCCTTTTCCTTTATTTTTGTTTAAACATATTTTTGTATTAAATACTAACCATGGTACCATTTTAGGAGTCCTGAATCCAGACCGAGAGACAGAAGGTCTGGAGCAAACACAGGTTTTAACGGGTCTACAGGCTTCACTTTCTTACACAGCTTGAACACCCCTCAGAGCTATGCCAGGTATAAGGAGTTTGGGCATTCTGGCAACTACTGCCAGCTTCTTCTAGAAAGCAGCAGAGAGTTTCATAACGACGGTCTACCATTTTTTGGTTACAGCTTGGAAATCGCACCAAAAAGATTTTTATTGCATGGATGCATACAGACTGTGTTCTACCTGTTGTCTTTGTCTGATCATATTCTTCTGTGCTGTACCACCTGTATCATTACAATTCCAAGATGAAGACCCCACTATGTTTCTTGGGGTCTCACGGTTGAGAACTGCAAGACTGTTGAACTACACCAACATATTTCAAGAGGATTTATTTTGCCACAATAAACGACATGTGTGATTTGAGTCAGTATTAACATATTTTAACAAATTATTGTCCTTTGTCTTTGGTTATCCTATTCACGCACACTTTTTAGTTATTAATGTGCCACTCACATCTAAAACTAAATTAATTTGACCACAACTCATTCTCTGACCACATATTCATTCAATGACAATTCATTCAATGTAAAATAGAAACCAGATATTCCATAGTTTCATATATTAATCAGAGAAAGTTTAAAATTTTTGTATTTGATTTTATTCCATTTACTGCTGCAGTAAGTGGAACCTGTTGGGAAATTTTGTGCAGAGCATATTCACCTGTTGGGAAATTTTGTGCAGAGCATATTCACTTTTAGTGTAAGATAGAATCAGAAAATGTTATATGCTGAGATGTATTTCCTGCAAATATCTACTTTACTTACTGAAATTCAAGGATGTTATATTCCTAATATTCCCATCATCAGCACATTTCAATATTTTTGTTTCATTGTAAAAAGACCACAAATTAAGAACCTAGAGTCATCTTACTTTTCCACTTCCTCCTGGAGAAGAATCAATCATATCAATGCCTGTACAATCGTGGAGAATTTGGCCATTGCAAATTACATGTGGAACATAAACATGCCCTTCAATACAGCATTCTATGAATTCCATATTGTTCTCTGTTAATGTTCCTGTTTTATCTGTGAAGACATACTCAACCTGCAAATGAGCACAAATTAAAAACAACAAGAATATGAATAGAGATTTTCCAAAGTCTCTTAACATAGCTGAATCATTGTGTTATACCTTTCTTTAAAGACCCTTATGGAGGCTCTTTCCAAAGAGGAAAACAACAGTTTCTCCTGGGGAGTCCTCTTTCACAGAAATGCGAGCACCAAAAGAGTATCAGCAATACTGATTGAGTATCAGCAATATAGATAATAAGAGTATCTTATTATCTCTGGGGAGTCCTCTTTCACAGAAATGCGGGCACCAAAAGATTTTATAAAATAAGAGTATCAGCAATGCTATCTTTTGCCTGATAACACCTACAAATACTGCTTAACCAACTTTCACTCTTCTCTCATGCTTCTTTTTGATATTGAATGTTTTACATTCAATATCAATTCAATTCAATGTCTTACACAAGTGCTATTTGTTGGGGACCAATATTTAATGTACATCTGATCAGTTACTGATCAGTTATTGTAGGGTCCACAACCATCCCTAGTGATAGTGATTGTAGTGAAGACTCACTACAATTATCTTAGCATAAATGAAGACTACTAAGTAAAGAATTCATTGTTTATATTGCCACTGTCCTGAAACCAGCCTTTTTGCCCCAACATTCAATTTTTAATTCATTTTATCTTTTACAATAAACCACATAATTCAAGGGAAACAATAGTAAAAATGAAAATATAAACTCTACTATAAACTAATCTATAAACCAAAACATCAGATAGACCTGCACAAGCTCAACTTTGGATATAAATTTTGTATACAGATTGCATGTATATATGTGTTAAACTGAAAGCATTATGTAAAGGTAGGAATGAAATACTGAAAATTAGCCAATTATTTCATTTAATCATAATGTTTACAAATCAAACATTTACCAACTATATAAAAAATAAACAACTAATTGTTGTTCACAGTAACTAGAACAGAAGTTATATATTATTTGAACGTTCCCTCTGGATTAACTTTTTTAACATTCACTGATTTGAAAAGGCATTTTCTAGATTTTTTCCAAGGTAGTTTGTTATCTACAGCCTAAGACACCATTTTATATACTTATTTAATTTGAAAATCTATTAAAACATATTTTAATGAGCAGATTCAGCTCAAAGACTTTTCCCAAAATGGCCTACCAGGTCAAGATGCAGGTTTTCTCAACACAGAACACTAAAAATAGCAAACTTCTGGAAAAGGAGACGGTGGGTCACTCATTCCGCTGGAATGAACTTGTACTAAACTCAGTTTAGTCACACAAAAAGAATGCTTTTCCATCTGATTTTCACTATAAAAAGGTTAGATGTGAACACGATATCCTTCTATAGTCAATGGAGAGAAACTGTAATTTTCTTGAAGTTTTTACATTCCACTAGCACAGTTATTTATCCAATTTATCATCAGTTACACATTTTTGATTAAATTTACCTGTCCCAACTCCTCATTGAGGTCAGAAGTATTCACCAGCGGTCCTTCCCCTGTGTCCTCATCAAACATTTCCTCATCCCAGGTAAGGAAATAAGAACCAAGAAATTTCTGCATTTCCACAGTGACATACATGGATACAGGAATAATGTAGTTGAAAAGAACCATGAATGCAAGGAAGTCTGTAAAAGCTCGAAGAAACTGCCAAAGAAACAAGATCAAAATATTAATTTTCATGTATTATCAAAAATTCAAAGGGCATTAAAAACATTTGCAAATTAGCGTTTCTAATAACTTTCAAACAGTAAGTGATGCCATTCACAGCTCAGAGTTCAGCACAAGACTTTAACATCTTTAACACACTTAATGAATTATGAGTCATGAAAAAGAAAACTTTTCACTTGAAGTTTTAGTTTTGTATTCCTCTACAGAAACACAAGCGGAGAGTACAGTTACACATTTCTATTGCAAATCTGTAGAGCAATTAAAGTGAGTGACTACATAAGAATTGTGAGCAACTTTATGTGAACATGGAAAGCAATAAAATTTGTATGCACTGACTACAAGAAAGAGAGCGCAGTAATGAATAATGCAAGGATTACTAGATTTTACAGACTTCAGGCAGCTTTTCATTAATCAAATAAAGGGGTTTCCTCTCACCATATCAATGCAAGTAGAGTATGTACAAATAACTAGGCTACAGAATGTTTTTCACTGGCAGAGATACAGCCAAACTGCTGGGCAGACTGAAGTAGTATTTACTAGTACTAGTGAGAAACCTCTACCATGCTAAATTCCTCTGCGTTTATTGTGCGTTCGGAGTCAAGAAGGAACTTTTCCCCCTTCCCAAATTGAGAGTATTTACTGAAATAACATCATGCCTTCTGTAAACGTGGGCACATTTCATTATGTAGGATCACCAGGGTATTCTTGCCTGACTAACTCCTTGCTGCTGCATGGATTTCACACACTGGCAACTCTCCTGCTTTCTAGAGGTCTCAGTCTGCAGCAGGCCAGAGTCACAGGGTTATATCAAACAATAAGCTTCTGAAGGGTATTTTCCAGCATGTGGAGAAGTGGTGGGCAATTCCTATAGAAGATTCTTTTGAATAAATATCTGTTATATGATTACCATTAGTAATCATATAATCAGTAATTTCCTTTCAGACTACATTTCTCTGAAAAAAAGTTTTCGTTTTATTTAGTACCTGACATCAGTGGCAGGAAATCCCAAAACAGTTCCATATATTTTTATACCAAAGCAAAATCATTTAAATATTTAATTATGTTCCCTCCACTTAACACACGCAGCTTAAAGACAAAAACTTAAAAAACTTTCCAAATACACTGTCTCCACTGTTACCAAAAGAGTGATGTTCCTGACTGGTAAGCAGTCTGTATAAAGTTTTCAGTGAGATTATTACAAATTTAGAGTTTAGTGAAACTTTTTTGATATTTTATTTTTTCCATACCAGATTTCTTTTCCTTTCTGACTCTGTTTTCTGATTATACCATGGCTCATCACGAAATGGCTCACTCTGCCACACATACTTCAGGACAGTATTTATTAGCGCTTTACTGATTAGAATACAGAGGTATACAATAAGGAATACATTCATTGATCTAAAAAAAAAAAAGAAAGAAAGAAAGAAAAAGGAAAAATCAATTAGGACATTAATGACAGAGTTTATAAAAAACGTTCATACCTGTATTCCATTCTTCCAAACATTTGCTAGGAGTCTAACAAAGTTAAGCAACTTTTCTACAGTGCTTTTCCAATGGAGAGCAGTATTACTGAGGACCACTTTCTATTTAAAACATTAACTGCTGTAAGTACGTGTGAAATATGTGTTAGACATTACCAGATCTACTACATTAGTAAAAACAATAGCACAGATGGAGTCATAACAGAATGATTGGGCTTGTTATCAGTAGACATTATTATGCCATTTCCCTGAACCAGTAAAAAAAATTTGCATAAGCACTTTTACAGAAATATAAATGTATCTAGAACATTTTGCTATGTACCTGTAATGCTTTAAATGTTTCTAGACAGACCTAAAAAAAAAAAAAGAGCAAGAACACTTCACATTTAAAATGACACTGAAATTAATGCTGGGCATGAACTAAAAGCCCTGGGTTATACACCGTTAGCAACAGGAAGAGATAAATCATCATTGCTCAACCACTGTGCAGGGGAAGAGCTATCAGCTGGTCACGAGGGTTTGTCTTAATTGATGATAACATTTCTTTCCAAAGGGCTAGACAGCTTACGCCGATCCGATGATTTCAAATAGTAGAGCAGAAAATATTCCTATCTATTTTTAAAAATAAGCAACCCATGCCAGCTCATCCCTTGAGGATGGAAGTGTTTTCCTCTCCCATCATATTGTGCTCAAATTAAAGTTTTTATTTTAGCTAAAACATGTCAAATCTGCCAAAAAATAGGCTTTCTGTTACTGCAATTCATCCAAGCTGAAGTGCATCAAAGGAGTTATTTATACCAAATTCAATATTTAATTGTAAGGAAAGGAAGGCTTAGGTATTAAAGCAGCTAATCTTGCAAACTATCAGTAGGCATACTCTAACCAATGAGAGGAAAGTCCTCTAGAATATATCTTATATTAAAAAGGTAAGCATCCCATTATGTTCTTTAATATGTAATAATTTAGGAACAAGAACCTCACTTTCTATGGCATCATATTTTATGAGTCACACATGAAACACAGAAAAACATGAATGTTAAGTTCTTCCACCTCTCTTTTACTTTAGCCAACAAAAGATATACTGTTAGTGAAATGCAGATATTCCCTTTTTTCCTTCAAGCAAACACACAGTTCTCCTCCCTCCCAAAAAAATATTAGAAATTTTACTTTTCTACAGCAGATCGTTTCTGTGATTTTGCCTGGTAATTTAGAGCCATCTTAGTTTCCATGCCGGTGTATATAGCAACACCTAAAATGAAAGAACCTGCTTTAATGAAGATTACACAATACATTTAATAAAAGCACAGCTCACTAGATAGTTATACTACATCATTTCTCTAAGTCTCTGCAGTCTGAAGAAAAAGAAGACAGACCTGGATGATACTAAAAAATTAGAATTGGTTTTAATATTTTCATTCTTAGGGGATAATACTAAAGAGCATTTCTATCCCATTCTAGATTCATAGTTGCAATTTATAGAATGTTTTCTGATACGTATCGAAGCCAAACCAAACATGGACGTCAAATAAACCATCCAGGCTTTCTAAGCTCTTTTTCAATGACACCATAGTTTAAGCATATACTGAAATTTCTTTCACAATGCACAATTTACATTCTAAATTTAGTGATTTTGCTCTCTTTAGGAAAATCTATTAATTCATGAAAAGATTTTTTACATCTCTTTTAACAATACAGATTGGAGACTAAACCTCAGAAGATTAAATAACAACTAAAAGCAGCTATAAATAAAAAAAGATTTAAAGCATATATTAAATCACCACGTTTGTGCCCGTACTAAAATAATGTAATTTTGTAAGTGGACTGTGCTGGGGTAATGGCAATTTCAAAATTACCCTCTGAAATTTATAGAAATACTTGCTACAAACTAAACATATTACTTAATCTATTTTAGATGCCAGTAAAAGGCAAAGAGCAACTTTAATAGAATAAATACATTTTACACTATTTTTGGAAAACAGTTGCAAGATTTTGATATTCTAGGCAGAGTTGCTATTTATGCTCTTCTTTCCTTGAGAAGGAAGTTAAATATGATACCAAATGCCCCTGATTTCTATCCTTGTCTGGCTTGACACAGTGGAACTACTACTCCCAAGAGGTCTTCTTGAAGAACATATTTAATTCCATGCTTTCTGTTTCTGCTAAAATATTTAAAAATTGCCATGGAAGGAAGACATTTCATATACAAAATACACTGTATGGTGGAAAAATTAATTTTGAGTCAGGAGCAGTTTACATTGATTTTTTTTGTTGTTTTCATCAGCTATATTTTATATTTCAATAGAATCTGTCTGCTTTGACATTCGACTTTTTGATATTGTACATTTACTAACAGGGACAACACTTTAATTCACACTGATTGTTCAAAAGATATATAGTGACATTAAAAATTTAAGACATATTCACTAATCTTTGAACATTAAACCATAAATACCCACTCCTCAAAATCCCAGTGTCCTTGGCATTGTATTTCAACAATAGCTGCTTTTCTGTATTAATGGCAGTAGTAAACCTTGTAAAAAAATGTGAATCAATATAAATTGTTTGCTCAGTAATAATTCCAGACTTTTGGCCTTGCTTGGTGTTCACTGATGACTTCGGAAAACATTTAAATAATCAACACAAATACTTACCAAAGATTTTTTCTGTGTTCTTTAAAGTGGCTCCTCTGAGAAGCAAATTTTCAGATCCTAATGGCCTATGAAAGGTAAGTATTACAAAATGTAAATACTTAGAAAGAGAAAACAGACCCTAATAGAAGCCATGTAAAATGCAAAATAAGTTTACTCGATTAATTTTACTCTGCATAACAAAATTAGTATTTATAGGCTAAATATAAAGTCTGTAAGTGAAAGCTAAAAATTTATATGTAGATTCTTAACATTAAGCTCAACATTAAGCTCACAATGTCACAACTGAACTAGCAACCTCACTTTCCAACATGTTAAGAAGATAACAGTTTTCTTTCCAGTATTTATGGTGAATGCATCTCAAAGCAAACCATGTTTGGTTACCTAAATATAAACTCTCATTTTAGTTGAAAGGTGTGTATTTGTGAAAGAACTGTGTGTACATCGTATTGTGTGCAGTTCCAGGCTAACCAGTACATTGAGCTTCTAGAGAGGGTGCAGCGTAGAGCGACAAAGATGATTAAGGGAGCATCTGGAGCATCTATCTTATGAGGAAAGACTAAGCGAGCTGGGCCTGTTTAGCCTAGAGAAGACCGAGAGGAGATTTCATCAATGTGTACGAGTGTCTGAGCGTTGAATGTAGGGAGGATGGGGCCAAACAATTTTCAGTGGTGGCCAGTGACAGGACAAGGGATAATGGGTACAAATTGAAACACAGGAAGTTCCATCTCCATGTGAGGAAGAACTTTTTTCCTGTGAGGGTGACAGAGCCCTGGAACAGGCTGCCCAGAGAGGTTGGGGAGCCTCCTTCTCTGGAGATCTTCCAAACCCGCCTGGATGCCACCCTGTGCCACGTGCTCTGGGTGTCCCTGCTGGAGCAGGGGGGTTGGACTAGATGATCTCTAGAGGTCTCTTCCAACCTTAACCATCCTGAGATTCTGTAACTGGTTCAGATGTTTTTTGGTTTATGCATGTTAGAAATACTTATTAACGACAATATATTCTCTATATTACTTCTATTAAATGCTGTTATATAATGTACTTATTGTATATTTTTGAATGTATAAAGACATAGGTAAAATAATTTATTGAAAGTAAGAGAAATTAGTTAAAGGAACCCATGCAATTTCAAATAATAACAATATGTTAATATAAACAACCATAGGACCACTTTATAGACATGGAGCATGCAGAACACCTTGGCTGACATAGTAAACTATTGCCAGGTTCTATTTATATAGTAAAAGAAAATACAGAAAGAAATAGCTTCATTACTTTTGGATATTATTCAAATTTTCTTGCAGTACAGAAAACACTGATCAAAAAACAAAAAGCAATCTTGATGTAGAACATGAAAGCAGTTCCATTTACACCAATGAAGTGTTTTGTATGAATGATTGGGGGCGTAAAATATTACGCACCAATATAGTAAAAAATACCAGTTGTTCTAATAGTGCTATGCAAGGAATATAAGCCTTAAGGCCACAGTTTTCTTCTCCTTCAATGTGTTCTATACAGATCAGTCTATCACTGGTTTTGATCAAAAAGGAGCATTTTCTTCTACTTTTTCTTCTTCCCTCTCCCATCCAAGTTAATTCCCGAACAACCAGACTGGGACATGAAAGAGCACAGCCCCCAGCAGCTGAGTTTTCCGCTCTGGCCAGTGACGGAGACCTTTGCACTCGTCTACAGCACAGTCCTACTTCTGCTTCCTGAGAGAGCAGTGACACTGGTGGACCTCCCTCCTCCTCGTTTACTGAGATAGGAAGCTACTTATCTATAGATAAATTTAGGCAAAGAATATTCTTAGCCAGGATGGAGTTATTTCCCATATTCGGGGGCTCTACACATAATCCGAGAGAGCAGCCTTTCCCTCCTATTGTTGTTCTCTTTGCTGGTAAGATCTAAAAAAAAAAAAAAAAAAAAAAAGGTACAGGAAGTCTCTTCTTTGCTGACACAGACCAGATCCTAGGCAGAAACTGATAAATGATACTGATACATATTACACCCTAAAAATGTTGATATTCTGTGTAAAAAAATCTTCATTTTACCAACCTTGCAGTAGGCTCATTCCTATCATGGTAAACATTTATTCGACCAACAAATCTGCAAGAGAAAAACAGAAGCAGTTTAGTAGCAAAGCTTATTATATAGGCATGTCCCAAAACTTTTATTTTTTATAATGTAGATTACAAGGACTTCACCTGAGAAATAAACTAAAAGGAAATCTTGTATTTCTATAAAATATATTCAATTACACCTGTAACAATGTGATTAGAATCCATTATAAAGCGTACAATATAATTAAAAGAAATCAAAACAAAAGCATAAAGCAAATAGGCAGTTTTCCGTCTGAATAACTGTAAGTACATTTTATCTATACTTAAAATGACAGTGTTCAACTGGGTGCTTCAAACCAAAAGAGGTAAGTCTAACTGCAGAGTAAACTGGGGGGAGTTGGTAGGTGTGTTAGTATGGAAGTAAAACACTCATATTCAGAGGATGGTGACCTACTTGCAGAGAGGATGTTTAGCACGAAAAAACACAACAGAGTACAGCCATATCTAAAGACACTTCATATCAGACTTGATATGAAACAGCACTGTAACCAACCTGAATGTGGTCAGAGTTCAAGATATCTAAAAACTCTATTCTTAAGGCTTGCCAAAATACCTAAAAACACCATTCTCAAGGCCTGCAGTTAAAATACATTGCTAAGTTGGCCCTATGGGCTTTCAAAGAAGCAGCCTGGGATGTTTTCTTTCTCCTGCCTGTTACAACACATGGACAGACAGGACATCCAGAGATGGGATTTCTCCTAGCAATGTGAACCGAGGTGCCCTAGGGAGCCTTGAGGGGACTCTTGCAGGAAGTAGATGGTTAATGTGATTTGAGCCCAGGATGACAGAGACTCAGCCAGGATCTTCTCATGAAGACACTGTTATAATGTATTGGTAGGATTCTTTAAATGAAAGAAGTAGGAAGTATTTTCTTACTTATAAAGGTCAGGCTGAGGTTGTTCACATTCAATGGTAGCATGTAGTGCATCAATTTCTTGCTCATTGTGAAATGCCTTTGTATCCTGAACAGCATAGTAAGTCTGGAATGGACAGAAAGGTGTACATAAGATAAAAAAGTAATGACACATACAAGATACTAATCTGTAGATACTCTTACTTCACTCTCACTTCAGTTCAGTGTGAAGTACATTTACTAGCTTCCATATAAGACCTCCTATTTCAAGTAAGATACAACTTTAAATGTTTCTATTTTGGTACCTTCTTACATTAAATGTATAAATTCTTGCAGTGTCTCACAAACCAGGCATCCATGAAAGCATATAAATACAACAAAGGCTTGTGCATTATCTCTGTAATCTGCACGCATATACTGGGCACAGGCACAACCAGAAAAACTGTTCTAAATTTCTCCTAAAATAATGTAATGATAAGAAAAATGAAGAATTTAACTGGTAGAAACTTAAATTATACGGGTGAGTATGTCTGCTTGCACATATATGCATGAAGTTGTAATATATTTTCTGTAAAAAGTTAAGGGCCAGCTTTGATTTAAAAAGAAAATGCGTAACATTTTATTACTTTATGACTGGATTCACCATCCAAACTAGCTGTTGTAACAAAACAGGTTCCGTCCCCTCTACTACTTGATAGAAATATTAAGTCACATGGGAAAGTTTCATCTTCTTTTACCATCACAATATCTCCAACCTAAGGAAAAAAATAATATTTGTTATTTATGTAAGTAAAAGCACAAACTTCATATTTAGAGAACAAGATTCCAAAATTCTAGGCTTATTCAAGTTTCTTTAAAACTCCTCCATTCTATTTACACTAGGATTTACCACAGGAGTAATGAACTGCAGAGGTTATCCCTCAAAACCAAAATTACACCCTTTGGAATGAATGAGAGGATTGCTATGTACTAGCTTTCCTCCAGTGATCTCAGCCTATTTTATAGATAATGTCTTTTTAAGTTTTACAACACTATTTGAAATGTGAAAAATACTATTCTCACATTAAGGATACATGCAATGAAAATCCTTCTTTCAAAAGGAGCTTGAGGTTTGAGCTATTTTCCTTGACTCTTGAGGATAAGCATCAAGCTCATTCAGTTACTGGCATCGGTAAACAAATGATCCAATAAATGTTTACCATGCTTTCTCTTATCATTTAGTTTCTTAAAATATGATCTCTGAAAAGCAAGGAGCAAATGAGAAATGTAGAAAACACAGGTAATGAATGAATTAATGTTAATTTAATAAATTTAATGAATTAATACAAATTCCGATTTTATTGGGATGGATAACTGTTGAGGCAGACACATGTAGGATTCAGCCTGTGATTTCTTAATTGCTTTTCACTTCTTGGAAAGCCAAGGCAGAAGCTATGACAGTCACAGGATAAAGTCATAGCAGGAAGGCTGTGAACACTGTAGAACTACTAATGTTTGCTAGAGCAAACAGAAAAAGATATCCCTAACAAAGACTTTACAAATAAGTCACAAGGAAATATCTATCAGTTTTGTTGAGTTCTAAAAATAAATAAGGATACCAAGAATGTATTCTGAATGTGTTGTGTTTTTGCTACCAGAAATAGTGATTGGTTCTATATGATAATCAGGCTTAAAGAAGTTATTAATTTGCCTACCTATAGAGAACCAAAAATGGAGAGAAGACAAAAGACAAATCATGACTGAAACATTACAAGTTGAAAAACGGAAAATGAACAGTTACGACAGAGGAGTTAACAAAGCAAAGATAAAGCATAAACATCTGCAGCTTATTATAATATTTTTTCCAGCAGTATCCAATTAAATATCAGTATATTTTAGGTCTAATCTCTATGAAATGTAATAAATACTACAACGTCTTCCACATTACATTTTTGCAAAATTATTTACAAGACCCGTGATGTAAAGCCTGATTCCTAAAAGCTGTTAAGTTACTTACTCTTAACTTTCGGCTTTGTTTTCTAACCAGTTTACCATGTTGAATGAAATGAACAGGGCATTGGTTCATTGCACTGTCGGCTTTATGTCGAAGCCAATCTTCATAACCCTAGAAAACAGTGAAATGCAGCAACGGTGATGCACATTTAGCTATAAAGACACAAAACAAATCTATCTTGCAAGTAAAATCTTTAATTGCACAAAATAAGGAAGAAAAAAAAAAGATTCTCAAAAGAACAAACGAAACTGTGATACATATGTCATTAATAGAGTCATGTTGGACATATGTGAAAAAGAGCACTTACAGATACAATTAGTCAACAAAAACACATATTTTAACAAAGATTTTAATGAACAAGGGTGTTTACAATGCATATAGAGAAATCACTGGTGTTTAAGTGATCATTTCTTGCTTAGTCTATTGACTAGGTATTGACTACTACTAAGTACAAGGTATGTATAGAAGTTGTTGCTTACAAGATGAAATGTAGAAAATTAATTTGGGAAGGTTGGGACCCTATATTGAAAGATGATAAGGTAAGGGCATGACTGAAAAGATGGTCATATTTCTTCATTGCTTTATAATTATGCTGAATTTTTTAGCCCTATATGAAGCATACCAGTCCTCGAGAACATCTGAGGAAGAGACTTTGGAGGCTAAGCAATCTGAATTGCTGAATCATCTTATCAATTTGTGGTATTATACCAACGGACAAAGTGAAGGGCAGGGAATCTGTATATTCTTATACATTATATTCTGTATATTCTTATACATATAAGAATATACATATGTATATAATGTATATTCTTATACATTATATATGTATACAGGGACACTGTAGATTCTAACCAATAGATAGGGAAGATTTTAGCCAAAATGATTTTTATTAACCGTTCATGTTTTCAGGGCTAAGGACATCTTGAAGCTAGAAACAGGTTTATCTTATAAGTTTCTGTAGTTCTTACTAAACTCCTTTTCAATCATCATGGAAAAAAATGTCATAGGTTGTGGATTATTATTTAGAAAAACAGAAGCACAGAAGCAAAAATACAATTACTCTCTGACAGACCACTGAAATTGTTCATCAGGGACAGCCCAAAGACAACATGATATTGTCAGACAGGGACAATATCATCACAACATGTTGTGAAGGCAGGGAAAAAAAGAAATGCATAATAAATAAAATGAAGAAATAGAATAAATAAAATTCTTTCTTTACTTTTCCTTTTTTTCTTATTTAAGTTCTCACCTGTTTGATAGCTGTTACAGTGATGACAAATAAAAGTGGAAGTCCACTTGTAACTGGACTAGTAGGTGTATCAATAATTAACTGTAACAAAAGGAACAAATATTTTCTGGTTGTATTTTTGTGAATGCAAGTTGTCAATTTTTCAAGTAAAATGTTTCAAATAATTTTTTACCGAATATGTAGCTAAGATCAAGTTTCTTTAATTAAAAAGAGCAGTATTCCAATTCAATTTTAAGAATATATACAATATCAGCAAAAAATGAAAAATTATAACCATATGCTATAACAAGATATAATAAAATATATCTATATCATATTTGCATTTTACATTTGAGATCAACTATTTGGATTTTTTTTCAAATAATGCTCATGAGTAAAACTCACTTAAAAATAGCTAGTTATGAGACTGAAACTTTTTTAATGAAACAGAACTTAATAAAATGATATTTCTCTTGGAAATACCCAACTCTAAACATCTAGTCAGGATAGTTTACAGATGACTAATTGCAACAGCTTTTCTTCAGTCAGCATGCCTCACTGTAACTTGGCAAAGTGCAAAAATTTATTTAAAAATGGGGATGGCTTACCTGAACAAGAAAAATGATGAGAAAATAAAAGTTAGCTATTCTTCTGAACTGTTCAAACAAATTTTTCGGTACAAAGTTCCAAAAAGTGTACTGAAAATGAACACAAAGATTTTCAGTGTTTGTGAGAGCAAATATTATTCACCCCCTAAAATATTCATACCCTAAAAATATTTAAATATTTAAATTAAAATATTCATACCCTATTCATACCCTAAAATATGAAAACAAATTCATAACTCAAGATTAAAAACAACAAAATTACTAGGTAATGCCAGTGTTACTTTAATATATTTATTGAAATGGAATCTAAATTACCAGTCACGTATCCTTGGAATCATATTAATCATTTGAGATTTCACACAGTTTTCTGAACTGTGGCAATCTTGGTACTTCGGACCAAAATATATATTTTTTTAATAACAACAGTGCTCATTCAGATATTTAGTGACAAAACAGTTCATTTAGAGCCATCAAAGGACTTAACAAACATCTTAGTCATCCTTCTAAATTCACTTCCCCCTTGTAGGCATGACTTGCTGAGGTGGCGTGCCGTGTGTTGACTACTCACAGATAGCAAGCTGGGGACCAAGACCTTGCCAGGGGCTCTTTGGTTCCCTGGCTTTAGCATAAACATACTCCTCTCACAATAAACTACACTGATTAAGAGTATGTCACTATGTATTTTTCTACTAATCTTAAAAATATCTGAAGTTTTATAAAATGGCCTGAGGTACAGCATTTAAAAGTTTAAACAGAAACTGTTAAATTAATAAAGGAAAAAAATAGAAAAGTGAGAGAGAAAGGACCTTAAGAGGTCATCTAGTCCCTTGCCCTGCCCTGCAGCAGGTTTGGCTATACGCTTTTCATGCTTACATAGCTCACTTTGAAGCTTCAGAAATTTCATCAGAGCATTGCACATCAGAACATGTGAAAAATGCCAGCTACAACTGTGCAAAAACATGTGAAAAAATGGCTTAAGAAAATGAGTACTATAACATCTTATCATCTAAATTATAATTTGGCACATAATGAAGTGTCAACTCCAGCAAAACTTTCATTTCAAACACAGCAGCCTGGAAAGATTCAACAATTTCTTCTGCTACAAATGCATCTTCCCTCTTCTCAGAAGACTGCACTGGTAATCGCTGATGTGTACAATGTACTACTCTTTATATTCCTTCTGAATTTCAGCCTGAAAGCAAAGACAGCTAGAGCTCTAAAAGGGAAGTAAGTACCTGCATCTGTATCCTCAAAGTTCAGCCTTGAGAGGCAGGGTTTATTTGCACATACACCCTCTTTTAGGCAAGATAATCTTTTAACTTAACTAGGGTTAGACCCCATGCCTGTACAGGACATAGGAATAAAATGTTCTTTTCCCTCATGATATGCCAAAAGACAATACAGAATAAATATAAATGCTCCCTAAGTAAGCACTCAGCCTGCTTAAGAGTAACTTCAAAACCCATGGAGGCACCTATGCAACAGCAGGATCGTCAGGTGCTCCTGCCCTGCAGTCAGAATTCCTTTCAGGTGCCTGAAATGCTATTTGGACTGCCCCTGCCCATCCACTTGTGCTGGCTGAAGAATTGCAAAACAGAGCTGGTTGGACTGGATTGGGAGTTTCGCTTGCACAATGCCCGAGCTTTCAAAGCTGCTGTGCTCATATGTGACAGGACAGAGAAGGAAGGTCCCACTCCCAGTGACTTCGCCCTTGTAATCAGTAACACGGACAACAGTATCAGCAACCAGGTATCTTTTTCCTTCCAATGTTAGAGCTGTGGTGATCAAAGAGAGGCTTAAATGCTGATGGTGATGCACAGACAGGCAGCAAAACATAAATTAGCAGATTCTCAGATGAAAGATAGTTTATGTGCAGGACTGTAGAGTATCTGGAGTTTTGACTTTCAGTTTTAAGAAAAAATGAAATAAATTCTATATTAACATTTTTCAGTTGTCTTTGTGAAGCAACGTGTACATTTTTCACATGAAAATTCCCACTTGCATTCTGAATCCGTCTGTTATGATTTCACCAACCCTCTTAATGGCTGTACACAGCAGCAAAGCTCTTGTTGCTGGATTTTGTATATATGATTACACTAGGCATGAGATGGCAAACCACAGCTGAGACAAAAAAAAAAAAAAAAACACATGCTATTTTTGTATTTCTTTATTCATTATTATCAAAACATGGCATTTCCTTGACTTCATATGCTGCAAATAATGGCATGTAAGAAAATATAAAAACATATATAATATATAATATTCTTATATAATAAAATATTTTCTGTCATGGTTTATTAGGAAAATCATCTCATTTTTCTAATCTTATGTATTTATTTCCTTACGAATGCCTGCCTTTTACTGAAAGAAACATGTACAGGTATTTCAGTGAAAACTTCTATTTACATTTCAATCTGTTTGGCAGTTTTGAGTGCTTTGCCATGTTTCCACTGAATTTTGATCATTTATACAAGTTCCCCAAAAGATCATCCATAAAGAAAAAAAATATAATCTTTTAAGCAATAACTTCCTGTTTATACCTCCCATACAGTTATTTGATTAAGTGTATGGTGGCAACATGCTGCTGCCAGTTATTTAAAAGGTCAGATCGAGGAAAGCAAGTCAAATACTTAAAATCTGTAGAAAGTTCTGGACCCTCAGCATCTGAACACATTCTTTTCTGAAAAGAAATGTTGCTTCCACTTCAGCTTTACCAGGTTTTCTAAACAAACCTGGAATATCACACTGAAATTAGTGAGTGCAAATAAAGGTTCTCATGCCATGCTGTTTTCACAGTTCATCCCTCCTGGTCATAAAGACCTTTTGGAAGTATCCCACATTGTTTTTCATTCCCTTTCTCCCAGCCATCAGTAGCTCAGAGCACTATCTACAAATCGATGCTTAATGTGTAACCATCATAATCAGTCCTAGGAAAAATAAGAGTGGCTACTGCCCAGAGCAAGAGTTATCTCATGGCTGCATTCAAGGCAGTTGCTTAAATCTATTTAGGCAGGAAAAAAATAAAAATCTTCAATGAAAAGACACTAAAAACAAAGCCATGAATAGGTTAGATTACTATGCCCAGAGATAAAGGGCTAATTCTATCCCTTTTGAGATAATTTCTAGTAACATTCTTTAAAAACTCTGAAAAGCAGTTTAGGGATATTTACTTATCCTTTTCAATATAGCTTACTAGAAGGAAAACAGAATACCCAAATAGTTGAAAGACCTGACAATTTTAGGATGGGAAAGGCTTAACTCTTCTTATTTTAATTATTGCAGAGACTTAGAAGGTAGAATGTGCATGTGCCTTCTGCACACTAGCAGTAAGAGACCAGAGAGCAGGCTAAGGACCATGAGCAGATGCCTCTAGGGCTCTGAACAGCAGTGAGCTCAATCTGTCTGCATTCAAAGCACACAGCTCAAGTAGGATTGCAGTTGTGGCAACATCTGCACTTCTGTAGACTGCTTGTGGCCACCTCAGCAATGCTGCCAAGTGCGCAGCTCTCCCTGCTCACCGGTTCTTGCATTTTGCCCTTTTGCTAACACCAGGTCAACCTGGTCCAACCCCAGCACCTCTTTGTTAGAGCCTATCCCATGAATTTAAAAACACCAAATAAGATCGCATAACACTATTTTTTAAAGACTCCATATTGACCTTTTGATTTGATCTCTGTATTTCGGAGTTTTGGCTCAGATTTCAAGCTTTACTCTCCATTCTAAGAGGCTGATATTTTCTTAAGTAGAAGGAGAGTTTCTTATGTAATCACTTGACATCAAAAGCTGGAGCTTTAAGGAACAAAGCACTCCAGATTGCGGTATTAAGGTCTCTCAGCACCACCTCCTTGATTGCTCATAGCTTATTTGTTTAAACAGTCACCACTTCTTTTCTAATCTGCTCTGACTTCCTAGTCTGACACTCCTTTCCCTCCACATCACTGGACCCTCTTCACTGTTTCTTGTAAGTGCTTAAATTTATTTTACCAAAAACTTCAACCATGTTGCTTCAACCTGGTCTGTAGGCATCTTACCGTGCTGAACTCTTAACCCCTTCTGCAAGAAAGAACTAGGGAAAAAAAAGATAAAAGCTGAACAAATAACACTTCAGTCACTTCTTTTTTCAAACCTGTCCATGTTTTTCTTTTAAAAAATCAATATATGCAAGCCTTGAATTTGCCCATAATGACTTCAGTATTTTTAATATACAGGTGTTTATAGCGTCTATCAATTATCAAGAGATTGTATTTTTTTCAAGCTGCCACCTTAGTAAGTGGACTGTATTTTTATGTGTATGCATTACATTTAATATAACATATTACATAGTGTTATAGTCAAATTATACCTATATATTTACTATATATTTTACTTATATATTTAAGGTATTCCCCCTTCAACAAAGAAGTCTCCTCAGAAGTTTGCCAAATGCTTTAAAATTAGTTTTATTTATAGAAATATTACTCTCCTTTTAAAGAAATAATTTCCTAAAATCTAATAGAGCTGAGAACTGGCAAGAACAACTACGACAAAGGATGTGAAACACAGTAAATCAATAATTAGTTGAAATCCGAAGCACCGATTTCAGTCTCTAGACCAAGTGCCTTGCTTAGAATCACATAGTAAGTTGTGGCAGAACCAAGCTATGGTTTTTGATATATTAAATCAGTCTCGCCTCCCACACTTCAAGCAAAAAAAATTGCAAAAACCAGGCCTCTGTGCTTCTTGTGATGCAATAAAAATGGAACAGTGATAACTCTGAAATTTTGAAAAGTGCTTTGCAGTGTATAGACAACTTGGAATGAATATTGAAATACACAGCTAGTTATATTTTAACAGAAGTATTTACCTGAGCTCATCTTCACGTTTAAGACTCTTGATGAACAGCCCTATTTCTCCACACCACATGATGCAGTATATTTCACATCACATTGCTCGTGGTGAGCCCCTTTTAGAGCAGATCAGTATGCCCACATGAGAAGACACTAAGAACATTCCTTAGCTTGCTCTCTAGGCCACAAGTACTTGCACACACACACACCTCTCTGCCCCCAAGGCATGCTACACATAAATATGTATCTTCTTTGGGTACACATGGCTGTGCCCATTGCCACTGTGGCCTTTGCTTAGGACGCATTGACTTTCAAACAACATTGCTTTGGGCTGTGTTTGAACTCCTCAGCTAAAGCTGTTGTGTCATGTCGCTGTAGAGGAAAGAGGCCTGGGAATGCATTGGCATCCCAGGGGACGCCTCCGAATTCCCATGGGCTCTTCTTGGTGGAGGCATTTTAATAGTTCTTTAACCCTCAGAATTAAAGTTTCCTTCAAACTTGGCAAGATAATATAAAAACAAACAAACGAACAAAAGAGAGACTCACAGCCTCTCCTTGTGTTTTTATAACACGATGCTTAGAGTGAGTGCTGCACAGAAGAGGTGCAGCACACGGGCATGATTTTTTGCTGGAACAGAGCTGAGCATCACAGCAAAAGCAAGGAGCTCCGCATGCTCTGATCTGTACTTCCTCTTCGAGCAGTTCCTGGAATATCCTAAACACTGAAGTATTTCCAGTACATTTATATGGGTAGATATATGCAGAAGGAATACCAGGAACAACAAAGTGAGAACAGCTAAATGGACAAAGGCTGCTGGAAGGAAGTGAGGAACATCCCAGCGTATATCCACCCAGACAATACCATCACACTATCCTCTCCTTACAGGCACAAATTTGAAACAGTCTGCATATTCAGATGCTATAAACTATATTTCTAAAGCCTTGTATAAGCAGATTTAGAAACTCAGAATCACAGAATTACTTCATATGGATTCCTGAAGACCACCTAGTCCAACCTCTTTCTTAAAGTAGGTCTAATTAGATCAGGTTACTCAAGGCCATTTCCAAGGACAGAGACTCCACAACCTCTCTGGGCAACTTGTTCCAGTACTTGGACACCCTCATGATAAAAGAAAAAATCTTGATATATAATCAAATTTTTCCATGTTCCAGCTTGTCTCCACTGCCTCTCATCTTTCCACCAAGTACCTCCATCAAGCAGAGTCTGGCTCCATATTCTCTGTATTCTCCAATCATGCAGTTGTAAACAGCCATCTACAACACAGAGCTCCCCCAGAGGCCTTCTCATCATTAGGCTCAACAGACCCATTCCCACAGGCACTCCTCATGTCACGTTCTCCAGTCCCTGACCAACCTGGTGGCCTCGGCTGGACTTGCTGTAGTGTGTCAATGTC